TCTTCTTCTTCTTCGAGTTTCAATCTGAAATTCAGTCAAAATCAAGTCTAATCTTCACCAAAACCCCTCAAAATTGAGATATAAACTCCAAACCATATTCCCGATTATTTTCAACAACACCCAATCCAAACAAATAATGATTTTTGAAAACCAAAATTTGAATTCAAAGCTTTCAAGCTTTTTAATGGCTGTCAATGGTGGAATTGCTACTCTCTTTTCATTTGCTTTGTATTACTGAAATTTGCGATTGAGAAATAGAGAGAGATGTAGAGAGAATTTATGGAAATAGAGTGTATCGCAAAAACAGAGTATGGAAAATCTTGTTCTGCGTTGTGGAAGATCAGAGTGAAGCCGACGATAATTATGGAATGTGTGTGATTTGCATTGGGGAAGATCTGAAAAATATTTAATTCCCCTTTTTTAGCGCGCAAAATAAGGAATCATAAAGCTACAATGATTTCTTATTTAATGTATAGTATATATTAGGTAGAAATACTATTAACATGAAGGGTAATAAGCAAACTATGAACATACTTGGTAATATAGTTTCATATATGGTATATATACGAAAACGCCTCTAAATTATAAACCCAAGATTTGTATTATGAGGCCAACTAGTGTACTTGTTTGGCACATATTTTTTGTATCTATTAATAAAAAGTGTATAAAATTTAAAATAAGAATGAATTATGTGTATGTAGCAATTGACGCCGAGATAGAAAATGCAACATTCATTTAAATTTAAAATAAACAATTACATTGACAAAATAGCTAAATGCATAGTTATTGAAATCTATTTAAGATAATTGCATAAAGGTACAGTCCACATAGGTGTTTTTCTTCCGCATACCCATTATTTTAAGTTTGATCCATATAGCCCACGAAGCTCTCACAATATGAGATTATCGCCTATGTATAACTTTACATATTTATATGTGATTTTTATTCTTTGCACACAACCAGCTTAAATCGATCATATATGATTAAACTTTTGTAGTGGTTGTAAAATGAGCTCTCTTCTCTCTCATGAAAAAAACCTAAAACTTGACGCCTAAACCTAGTTTCCATGGCTGCTCCGGCCATTGGCCAGCCTCCTCCTGAGGTTGGTCCGTCATCTTTACCTCCTCCACAGCCCTAAACAACAACCACAAACCCTAATCCAAGCCAAACCTACGCAAAGTTATTACAACCGGCTTCATTAAATGCACCTATGCAGATGCAACCCATCGTAACCCTAAAACATATAGAATATCTCCATGGCGAGCACATTATTCGTTGGAAGAAGCATGAGGTTCGTCAATCCATTGCGCAACAAGGTTTAAACATGTCTTGGGGATTTTCATATGGTAAGCCTGGGATTCATGATTTACGTAAAGCAATTCCTATTCAATGTGAGCTTAAAGGGTAGTGTTCAGTTGGGTTAATTGAAGATAGTCATATGTTAATCAGATTTCACTAATGGAGGATTATATTCATCTTTTGTCCAA